ATATATATATACAAAACAAACTCAGTCTTATTCTCCAATGCAAGTCTTATTCTCCGATGCAAGTCTTATTCTCCAATGCAAGTCCTGCTAATAGACCTAGTCTGATGTGCTCTTACAAAATATTCTCCAATGCAAGTCTGACAATGACACAGCAATAAAAAGAGACTGTGATATGCTCTTACAAAATATTCTTCAATGCAAGTCCTGCTAATAGACCTAAGTAGATATGCTCTTACAAAATATTCTCCAATGCAAATCCTGCTAATAGACCTAAGTAGACTAAATCTTACTGATGTGACAATAGCAACAATAAAAAGAGACTCTTAATGTGCAAGAAAAAGAGACTGATGTGACAGTGCAGCAAGAAAAAGAGACTCACAATAAAAAGAGACTCTTAATGTGCAAGAAAAAGAGACTGATGTGACAGTGCAGCAAGAAAAAGAGACTCGATTTACACTTTAGTCCCAAGTAGAGACATAGTCTTGTTTTACATATTGTTTTATCCATGTCATCAAAGATTTGAGTTTATCTAAATGTCATATAGGCAAAATTAAAGATGCTTGGCACCTTGTAATAATAGGACTTTAAAAAATATTTTTGACATTCGTAACAAAGAGGAACGATGGAATATGGACGAGAATAGACTCATCATCCATAAGCAACAACCAATAATAAGCCACAACAAAACATCAGATGCTGAGATGCATACCAGAATACGCATATACAATAATCAAGCACCTCACAATCACATTATTATTAGGAAATTAAGCAAAATGAACAAAGTCTCAGAGATTCAGTCTCATCATAATACAGAACCAAAAAGCGTACTACATTCGATGCACACCCCAATAGAACACGCATGAACTGCCCATGCATCTTTTATTCATCTACTTATTCAGCTCCACACACACACACAAACACACACAATAGGGCAAATACAACAAAAGCACAAGAAAAAGGCATACACGCAGCAAACGCATATTCATCAATCCTCAGCTAGTAATCTTCGGGGGCGAGAGGCTGATGATGAGTGTGGAGTGGGGCCTCCGACTGTATAATCCCAAACTCGTAGATGAGGGCCGACAAGGCTGCACCGGCAAAAGGCCCAACCCAATAGATCCAATGGTTGTGCCACCTCCACCCCACAAGAGCCGGCCCAAACGCACGGGCCGGATTCATGGATGCACCTTCAAACGGGCCTCCCACAAGCACATTAGCCCCTACGATGAAGGCTATGGCTAGAGGAGCAATTGTGCCCATGCTTCCCCTTTTCGGGTCTATGGCAGTTGCGTAAACCGTGTACACCAGCCCATATGTCAATATTATCTCCATCAGCAGCCCGTGAAGCTCTCCAACTCCACTCCCTACTCTGAATCCAACCGGCCTCTGCAACAACAACAACAACAACAACACTAGCCAATTAATTGAATGAATTTGTCTGGTGCAAATATTATATGTGTACCATGCCATTGGTGGAGAGGCGTAATAGGAGAGACGCAAGCACGGCACCCAACAACTGAGCAACCCAATAGTATATGGCCCGAAGAAGCGAGACACGGCCACCCACCAGGGCTCCGAAGGTGACAGCTGGATTGACGTGACCCCCCGACACGTTGATGCTTGAAGACACTGCAGCAAACAAGGCGAAAGCGTGGGCCAGGGCTATAGCCACCAACCCTGATGCACTCAAACCAGTGTCCTTGCTGTAAATATCATCTGCATATATATATATATATATATTATTGGGTTGCATGTCAATTTCAATTAATAATTGATTGATATATACTAGTAATTAACTAAAGCATTAAAATTGTGCAGAGATATGAATAGATAGGGCTTACGGAAGGCGAGAACAGAGCCTTCGCCAGCAAAGACAAAGATGAAGGTAGAGAGGAATTCAGACAAAGTTGCCTTCATCGAGTCGGGGTGAGTGGCCTCATCAGCCCTCCCAAATGAGTACCTTCGAGGCATCTTCTTGATGATGATGATGATAATCTATCTTACTATCTATCTATCTATGTATGTATATGAGGAAATAAATATGAGTCCACTTGAGTTGAGTTGAGCAGGCACCTACAAATATGTACACAAAGCTTTTTTATGCATGCACAAAGTAATAAGTAGTAGTTTTGTGGTGACAATAATTGACAAGGTTGTGTGTGGAGAATTGAACAAAGATTAGATAGAGAGATGCAGAGAGATGGAACGAGGTGGGTTTATAATTATAAATGAGAGAGAGAGAGAGAGAGAGAGGAAAGGACACTTGGGAGATGAAATGCAGGAATTTGGACACGTACTCCATGCGCTGTCTGCTGCTGCTGCTGCATCATCAATCCTAATCTTATTTCCTTTCATTCTCATCTTTCTTTTTTTAATGTTATGTAATAATAATTATTAATAGAATAATAATATGCGGACTGAGTTACCATAGATGCATATCCATGTTGTTCCTCCTCATGCAATTAATTTACCCATTCAAATGATCAGAAGCATGCTTTGCTTATCCAAGTTGAAAGATATACATGCATATATCACTCATCATTTTTGTCCATTTATTCATGAATTCACCATTTTCAAAATGCGTGTAAATTATTTATTTATTTCTACTAAAATACTTTTTTTTTATTATTCAGAACGAGATTTCGAATATTAGCTAACCAACAAAAAAAAAATAAATGAGTAAGAGAGATCTCCTAATACTGACTGAGCTTGATTTGAGCTCACAATTAATTAGATAAACTATGTTATCAAGCTTAACGAGCCTATCTCCAGACTTAATAAGGATGACAACAAACTTGTATGAAAATGCAAACTTCAATTTAATAATAAGGATGACTATGAACTTATATGAAAATGCAAACTTTTTGCGAGTCAAGCTCAAACCTAATGAAATCTATATATTGTTGGTGCTAAAAGGAAGGAATACGTTTTTAGTTGGTTGTTGGAGTCAACTTTATATTGCAAAAACTAATCACATGAAAAGAAAATTTCGTAAAGTAATAATATAACATTAATTTAGCTGAGCATGTATGGCACCCACATATTGGCAAGAATTTGGAAAGCTCGACTGTGTTAAAAAATCAACTGAATTGAGGAAGAGAAATGGTGAATGTTGATGATGATGCCATCTGACACAAGGCGGCAAGGGCAGTGCAACAGTAAGGAAGGAAAACACAACTCCTTCCAACTCACTAATTTGATCGCAAGTCATCAAGCACACAATATTTTCTGAATACCACCACCAGCATACACAATAAATTTGCTGTATGCATCAACCAAATGAACTCTTGCCTCTGTGATTCTAAATCCACACACCACAGAACAAACATAAGGAATGAAAAAAAAAAAAAAAGAAGAAAAACTTGAAACCAATGAAGACCAGAAGTAGATTCACAACCCATTAAGTTCATAAAGAGTACTATGTCAAACAAGGGCATGGAAGAAGCAAATGGAAAAAGCTTCAACTGTATTCCTTGAATCAGTCCTCGTCATCATCAGAACTTTGATATGCTGCCAGCAAACTCTTAACTGGGTTATCCGATTTCATCTCGTCTCCCACTTTACTAAACGAATTGGGCGGCTCAACTTTCTCTTTCTCGTGTTTGGACACCACCGAATGATTTTTCTTAGGAGGCTGTCCACTCTGAGCTGGAGAGGATTGATTGACATCTGAAATGGCATATACATTACGCCGCTTTGGCTTTACTTCCACCACCCTTTTCAACAAGTCTTGCTGTCTGAGCACAATACAAATTTATGTTTATTTTTACTTTTTGAGAGAGAAGATAAGAGAGTCCAAAGATACCTGATTCCACTCTTTGGCTTGGGCTCAACACGAAGAGGCAAGGGCACCGGTGCTGGTGAAGTTTCAGCCACAGCCTTGTGATTATCAATCAAGGAAAGGTAAACAAATCGCATTCGATGTTACGTGACTAATCAAGGCACTACACATATTTTTACTTTATCTCGATGAACAATCTTTAATGAACAAATAAATAAACAAAAAAAGGATATTTTAAATGCTTGAAATGCTCTCTTCTCCGTACGGCGTAGGAGACGCTCTGCATCTTCCTCAGCTTCCATTTGCTCTTTCAGATAAAGTAAATCATCGCTGTCCAAAGCTGCATATTACACTTTGAGAAAACTGTAAATAACTAAATGCATATACCCCTCGATGCTCAAGCACATAAACCTGCACTGCACACATGAACTGAAATTGATAAATGGAATATATACCGCCTCGCCCATGAAGGTAACCGCCTCTCTCCCCAGCAACCTCTTGCATCTGCACATATCAAGAACCCAGTGGGAAAACCCAAGTTCCCTGCCGGGGCATGTTATCAGAAAACTATCCCAGTAATTAAAAGATACTGGAAGGAGCCATGTCTACAAAATATAGCAAAAAGAAGAAGTGTGAAAGTTGAATTTACAACTAAAGATCACTAGTTTAGTATTAAATGATTTTGACGGACGCACTCTGGTAAGATTCAGGTAATTACCACTGCCCTTCATGTGATGTGACTCCACCAAGAAAACTACCAATAAAAGGTGGCTTGTAAATTGTAAACTCCCCGTAGGCTATACTACACTAGCTGAAAACAGGATTTGATATGTATGAAACAGAAGCATTGAGCTAAGTCCACTTTTGAAGTTTGATTGACTACGCAATCAAATGATTCCAGCAATTTTTTGCAGATAAGTTAGATATATTCGGACATGCCCATAGTAACTACAACTAGGAGAGTTGTATAGATTGGTTAGGGCAAAAGCTTTGAATATCAATCATACTGATGATATGATGAAACTTCATATACATACATACATACATACATGTATAGATAATAGGTATAGGAGTTACAGAAAGGAGAAGCAGGATTCGCTAACCTTGGCAACCATGCGCTGGAAAGTAATTTCTTCATCATCGACTCTATCCTTCCCTTTCCCCAGTTTTTTGTCTGCAATCCACACCATTACAAAAGGTATAATTACAGATTTTTCTTTTTTTAATTTTAAAAAAAATGTTATTAGTATTTAATAAGAAAGTATTTAGGGTAGATGGCATGTACCTTTAGGATCGGTGAGATTTGTGTACTCACGAACTTCCCTGCCGGCCATTCCCCACGAACTCCGGTGTATTAATTATTGTCGCTTCAATTTTGAAGAGCTGTGACGAGACAGAGAGAGAGAGAGAGAGCTAGGTCGCCAACGCCAAGATATATAATCTGGAAAAAATTGAAAGTTGCTGTCGAAAGACAAAAGGCCCACAAAATAAGCCCAACTAGTGGGCTCCCCGACTTTTGAAAATTGTGATCCAACCCGTTTGAGTCCATTTGAGGAAGAAGCACAGGGCCCATATAGGTTGTGGTCCATGATTTAATATAATTATTATTATTATATATGTATGTATGTATGTATGAGGAATTGAGGAAAGGATTAGATTCATGTAATGATTGATAATCAATCATGATAGATAGAATATTTGGGGCTAATCCTAATGTCTTTACCTATCCAACATAAACAAGCTATGTTGTGGTAGTAATATAGGGGGCATGTCCAAATTCACCATTTCGTCGGGATTTGTAACTGTTAGATCATCATATAATTGTCAGGGATGGTTGGTTCAAATGTTAGAAATTTCGACAGAATAGTTCCATAACGAGACCGTAGCATCTCTCGTAATATATATATAGAGAGAGAGGAAAGGAGAGCACTACAAACATCATAGTCATCATCTATCTATACTAAAATTAAGCAGCCGTTATTAGATTCCAAATCATCCTTTTTAGCCAAAGAAACAATTAATCATTGCTGGGCCATTCTAATTGTTTAGTTTTGTGCAAAGTAGAGTAACATTTACAGCGCATTATTTTGAAGAAAAACGAGTCAACATGAACATTTGGCAAAAGCCACGTTGCTTTCTCAAGCAAATTTAATTAATTCAAAACTAGCCACGTGTGTATCATAACTGATAAATATAATTAGTTGAGATAGAGATATTAAACGATCTTTGGCCCGATGGGCTGGCCCGTTTAGCCCCGAAAAAAACAAGGTTAGGGCTTTTTATTGGTAGCCCCTTTAAATCAGGATTTTTTAGGCCCAGACTGTTTAAACCGAAGCCCATTAGGGCTAGCCCGAAACCCACTAGGGCTGGTCCGTTTAACTTGAATTGGGCGTTGTAAATATTTGCAGCAAGTAAGTAATATACTCTTAGATTCATTGTATATTAAAATTTTGTTATTCCACTTTACTATAAGTATGAGCTGTAACGAATTATATTGATTTTGAAAGATAATTATTAACAATATTCTTATTATACTCCACACCAAAATATTTAACTCAATTAGAACGACTAATAGGAAACAAATGAGACAAAGACCTAACACATGAAACATAGTGATAGAATTTATAGTGATATAATATCGTAAAAATTTCCAAAACGTACAAAATATAAGTAGTGAAATAGTAATTGTAAGTAATAATTCGAATATTTTTTTCTTTAAAAAAAAATGTTATTTAAGAGTTTGTAGTATGTGTTCATATATGATGTGTAGTTGTATATATAGAGCAGCAAATAATAAATACCGTTGAAAACAATTGTTAATTAGTCGTTGTAATTTTTTATAATTTTTTCTTTTTATTTTTGATATTTTTTGATACATTATTATTATTATTATTATTATTATTATTATTATTATTATTATTATTATTATTATTATTATTATTATTATTAAAGCCCGTTTAGCCCGAAGCCCGCTAGGGTTAGGGTTAGGTCCTTTTATTGGTAGCCCGTTTAAATCTGCGCTTCTTAGGCCCGGATCGTTTAGCCCGAAGCCTGCTAGGGTTAACCCGTTTAACATCTTTAAGTTGAGATAGTGGCCTATAACTTTTAATATTCAATAAAAAGTAAGAAAAAATTACGTTTAATACTCATGTTCCTCATTGGAAATACAAATAACAATAATAGAACGAAACACTTTGGCTTGATTGTTTATGGAATAATTTGTTTAAAATGAGTTATTTTAGTAAATGTAGTTAATTTTGAAAAAGTGGTATAGTTAGTTGTTAGTAGATTTTAAAAATGTATTAAAATAATATTTAAAATAAAATGATTAAAATTGATTTGATGTAAAATTGAGAGATAAATGATTGAAAATGATAGGTAGTTAAAATTATGCGAGTGGATGAATAGTGAATTAAAGTTGATGTGATGTGTAATAATGATTGATTTGTATTATTTAATTATATGAATAATATAAAAGATAGTGGAGTTGAGTTAAATTTGAGTTAGATTCTTTTTTTTTTTTTTTTGGTACAAAAAAGGAGACGAAAGCCTTAGGCGATGATGTTACGAGGCTAAATTATTCCATATACAAGCAAGCCCTGTTGTTATAACTTTAATTGATTTACTAAACACTTATTGTTACTAAACACTAAAATATCCCCTATATATTAATCCATAACGCGCTGAGCCTACGTATCTGCTTCTGGTGCTTCGGAATCATATGTGGCAAAATTACATGTTTCGTTATTAGGCTTGGGTAAATTTTAATTTAATTCCAAACAAAAAATAATTAAGTTCGGATTACCATAAATATGTTGATTATTTATGGTCATGTTACATGTATTAAGGGCATTTTAATATCATTACTTTTTATAACTATTGAATTGTATATATATTTTAAAAGTTAATAACTTTTGTATTTTTTATCAATTTTACATATGTAATATATCAAATTAATCTTCTTTTGATGAGCTTTGATTTAACATCCATATTGTATGTATAAAAAATAATATATATTTATTTTTATAACAATAATAAAATTATTTTTAATAATTAGAAAAATAAAATTATTTATCAACTAATATATTTATATTTTAAGTAGTTATATGGTATAAGTTATAAAAACTAATATAATATAACACATATAAGGCATAAGTAACACATATCATTCTAAAATATATAGTAATATATTTTTTTTTATAAAAAAGTAAACTAAATTTAATATAGTTTTCTCATTAATTTTAAAATTTAAGAACAATTTTTTAACAAGCATCCATG